GACCAGGCCAGCAGGGGAGGACAGTTGGGATTGAGCAGGCTGGCAGTGGAAGACAATTGGGGGTGACCCAGGCTGCAGGGGAGGGAAGTTGGGGGCAACCGGGTGAGGGGGACCCAGATTGGAGAGGGTGAAGGCTGGGCTGAGCATCCCCATCAAGTGCACAAATTTTGTGCATCAGGCCTCTAGTAATGTATAACATCCCAAACTAGTTGCTATCAAATATCAAAAAAGTAACTGACATTGGATTCATGATGGGTTTTCAAAGAAACAAATGTCCAAGAAAAAGATTTCCTAGCCTATTTGAAACAAATTTCATGTTCTCATTAACATATAAATATATGATTTACAATTCATATATTATTTATCATATATTATTATAATTCATATTTTTGTTTATATGGAAAAATACCAGGTGCAAAGTGGTGCACTGAGTATTCTGTGGGATACAAAGATGAATCAAACATAAACTGTCCTTGAGATACTTATAGCCTAGTAAGGAATTATAAGATACAAACTTAGGTAAGTATGCAAGGAGTACAGAGTTAAGGATAATAAATTTCAAAAAAATTGAGAAAGTGATTATACTTAAAATAACAATAGCATCAAAGACACATAAAATGTTTAAAAATAATTTTGACAAAAGAAATTCAAAGCTTACATTCTAAAAACTACAAAACTTCTTTGAAAGAAATTAAAGATCTAAAAAAATGGGAATTGTCCTGTATTCATGGATCATAACCATTGTTATGCATTATCAAAAAGACAATACTCCCCAAATTGATCTACAAGTGCAATAAAATCTATTAGAATCACAACTTATTTTTTTTTATAAATTGAAAAAGCTGATTCTAAAATCCATATGGAATTGTATGGGACCTGAAATAGCCAAAACAAATTTGAAAAGGAAGAAACTAGAAGAATTCTCACTTCCTGAGTTCAAAATTTACTTCAAATCAATGGCAATAAAAACATTAAAATAGAATCGAAGAGTCCAGAAATAAATCCATACAGATATGGTCAAAGGATACCAGTGCTATTCAATGGGGTAAAGAAGAGTCTTTTCTTCTACAAGTATGGCTTATTTGTTGCTTTATAAGATAATTATTTCTGAATAAATTTCACTCCAATCCTCTAATTATATGTTCATTAGAGACCACTTAATATTATTATTATTATTATTTAGAAGAACTTGACATAGAGCATTTCACAGAGTAGGGGATTGATGAATATTTATGAGAGAAAAATAATCAAGACAGGTCAGCAATAAAAAGTAAGAGGAAGGAAAAGAAGGAGAAAAGAAGAAAAGAAGGTGACTTTTTTTTTCCATGTCTCAAAAAATTTGAGCACTATGAGAGATCTCTGAGATAATTCCATTTCCATAGTTTATAGGGGACTGAAGAGTCCAAAGAGGTTAGATGAGGTGTCCAAGATCACATCTCTTGCTAAGAACAAAGCTAGTAACAAACTAGGTCTTCTGATCCCTCATTCAGGGTCCCTCACACTGCACTGCCATGCTGGTTCTCAGTAAAGCAATTTAACTGAGGGAGCCAGTGAAAATACATTTTTCCATGAGGCAGACAATTGCTTTATTTATCATTAAAATGAATGTTCAATCATGGATTCTAAAGTAAAATGTGTAACTTAGAAATGATAGCTAATTGCTCTGGCAGGGTGGCTCACTAGGTTGGGCATTGTCCCCTGCACCAAAGGCTGCAGGTTCAGTCTCTAGTTGGGAGGCAAATGATCCATGTTTCCCTCTTCTTCCCTCTCCTTCCTGGTACAGCAATAAATACACAGGACAAATATTTCTATTCTCAACATGTATTATACTTATTGCATTTACATTGAATGTCTTCCCCCTAAACTCCCCAGAGGCTTCCTGGTGCTTAGACTCCTTTGAATGGTGGACACAGCACTGAGTGACCTGGGCTTCCTCTGAGGATTCGGTTCTCATCTTGCATCCCATAGTCCAACCGCACCAAGCCTATTGGTTTCTTATTTACCTTCCTTTTCAAGGTGACCCTCTCCCCAAACCTGTTCTGCTGCTTTTGGTATCACCTACATGTATTTTAAGATTCAAGACTCATGTGTGACCAAAATCCATGTAAGAGAAGTAGATGACCTTAACTGGCCTATGTCTACTAAATAAATAGAATCAGTAATTAATAGCCTTCCAAAGAAGAAAGCACCAGATCCTGATGGGTTTGCAATGTAGAGACTAAAAAATATAAAAGATCAATGAAACCAAGAGCTGGTTCTTTGAAAAGATAAGCAAGATTGATGAACCTTTAGCCAAACTCGTCAAGAAACAAAGGGAGAGGATCCAAATAAATAAAATAAAAAATGAAATGGGCAAAGTAACAACTGATCCACAGAAATACAAAGGCTTGTATAAAATACTATTAGCAAGTAGATGCCCACAAACTGGACAATGTGGATGAAGTGGACAAATTCCTAGAAAAATACAATATTCCAAAACTGAATCACAAAAAATCAGAAAACTTGAATAAGCCAATCACAACAGATGAAACTGAAGTAGTAATAAAAAACTTCTCTGGTTAGAAGGCTTCATAGGAGAGTTTTATAACACATATCTTCTCCAAACTATTCCAAAAAATCCAAGATGAAGAAATACTTCCAAGTTCTTCATTTTAAAAAAATATTTATATTGATTTCAGAGAGGAATGGGGAGGGATAGAGAGATAGAAACACCAATGATGAGAGAGAATCATTGATCAGCTGCCTCTTGTATGCCCAACATTGGGGATCAAGCCCACAATCTGGGCATGTGCCCTGACTGGAATCAAGCTGTGACTTCCTGGTTCAGAGGTCAATGCTCAACTGCTGAGCCATGCCAGCTGGGCCACTTCCAAGTTCCTTTTATGAGGCCAGAATTATCTCATTTTCCAAAACTAGATAAAGACACTACAAAGAATGAGAATTATAAGCCAATATCCATGATGAATATAGATGCTAAAATCATCAACAAAATATTTGCAAATCAGATCCAACAATACATTACAAAGATCATACACCATGACCAAGTGGGATTTATTCCAAGGTTACAAGGCTGGTAGAATATTCACGAATCAATAAATGTGATACATCACGTAAGCAATTTGGAAGACAAAAATCACAGGATCATATCAATTAATGCAGAAAAAGCATTTGACAAAATCCAACACCCTTTTCTGATACAACTGTCAGCAACGTGTGAATAGAGTGATCATACCACAACATAATGTGTGACAATTATGACATACAGCCAACATCATACTCAAAGGGCAAAAATAAAAACCATGTTCCATAAGAATAGGAACAAGACAGGGATGTCTGCTTTCACCATTTTTATTCAATACAATACTGGAAGTCCTAGCCAAGCAATCAGACAAGAAGGAGAAATAAAAGGCAGCCAAATTGGAAGGGAGGAAGGAAAACGAAATTCTCTTTATTCACAGTCGACATGATATTGTAAAGTAGAAAACTCTAAAGACTCCACCAAAAAACAACCAAATTTAATAAATGTATTTGGCAATGAAGCAGGATACAAAATTAACACACAGATATTGATGACATATTTATATACCAATAATGAATTCTCAGATAGAAGAACTGAAAAACAACCCCATTTACCATTGCAACAACAACAACAACAAAAACTAAGATATTTAGGAAGAAATTTAATCAAGAAGGTAAAAGACTTATAAAACTACAGGATGTTGAAAGGGAGATAGAGGATCAAGTAGAATATATCAAGTTCCTAGATTAGCAGAATCAATGTCATTAAAATGTCCACACTACACAAAGCTCCACAGGGTCTTTCTACATAATCTAGTCATTGCAAGACAGCAATTTACCCAAATGATTCAAAAACTCAGTTTGTACATCTGTACAAAGCACTGCCTGTGAATGTCTATACAAGGTTTATTCATAAGAGCCAAAAATTGGGAGCAACCAAGATAAGTCCTGTCAGTGAATGGAAAAACAAGTGGAGATGCATCCATTCAATGGAATTTTATTTGACAATAAAAGGGACGAGCCATCAAGCCGCAATGAGCCATGGGGGAACCTTAACTACATATTGCTAATGAAAGAATCCAGCCTAAAACAGCTACCCAGGGCACGACTCCAACTCCATGACATTCCAGAAAGGCAAAATTACAGAGACCACAAACAGCTCCGGGGTTGCCTTAGGTTCAAGAGAAGGGCCTGAGGGAGGAACCGACAGGCACAGGGGATGTTCAGGGGCAGAGAAACCATCCCGTATAATACTGTCATGGCGGACACATGACATTTTGCATTGGTGAGAACCCACAGAATGAACAACACAGGGAGCAAAACCTAATGTCAATGATCAGCATTAATGAATAATAATGTATCAAGATTAGTTCAATCAATCATAACAAATGTACCACAAGAATGTGAGATGTAAATAATAGGGAAACCTGTGCAGAGGGACAGTGGGCATCTGGGAATTCTTTACTTTCTGCTCATCTTTCCTAAAAACTTACAACTATTATAAAATAAAATCTACTATAAAAATTGTCCATAGTAAATAGAAAAACTTACTCATATCAAATTATAAACTATATATATGTTCACATATTCAGATAAAATAGCTATATATCTCTTTCCATGATACCTTTTCAATGTTATGTTCTGTTATTTCCCCTCTCCTGATACAATGGTTCCACAGAGACTGGCTGCTAATGGGAGGTGAGGAATGCAGACAGTTATGTTAAATTATGCTCATGAGATATGAAGGGCGGTGGGGCTGAGGGGGGCAGTTGTGGGAGTCTGAAGGTCTAGGAAAGAATTATTTTTAAAGGATGTAACGATTGCCAGCTATGAAAATACATAGTAGCTCATTGAATTTCATCCCTTAGCTAGTCCACTTTCAATAATTATAAATGGATACTTGAGTATAAAACTGCATAGTGACAGCATCTATCACATTTTCCCGATGAGTTACAATGTGAGAAAGCCAAAGGATCACATACCAGGTCATTGAGGCTGACCATGATGACATTCTGGTACTCTTCGCCGCTTTTACCTTCGAACTCACAATCAGATGATGCGACTGGCAACAGAACGAGGATCAGGGGAGGAATTCCAAAGATATACCTGAAAGAAACTGAAGACAACAGCACATAAGAACCAGCTAAATGTTGTCATGTGATCTGATTTGGTGGTGGCGTTTCAGTATTTCTAATCCTTGTACATATGTATCCCCGGTTTTGGATAGAGTTGGAGGGAACTCTGAAACTCAATACTAAGTAATACCCAAAGCAGGGCAGACATTTAGTGTCTGAGTTTCTGTAGTGTTTTAACCAGGAATTACTCTTTGGGAAAGTGCAGCGCAGTGGTGGGTGCCCGTAGAGTCTCTTTGCTTCTGGAAAACACTCCAGGATGTGAATTCAGTTTATCCAATTTCAACTTAAGTTGGAAAGGCATCTACAGGTGAACAAGTAAACTAAGGACAGGTGAAAAAGTTACACATTTTATGATCTATGGCACGTGACTGCGTATGGAAACCCAATGGTTGTCCAAGCATCCAGCAGCTTCCTGAGGTGGTGTTGCAGGTTGAGCCCATGCTATGACTCAGTGATTATATTTTTGCTTTTTAGTGATGGTTTACCCTTCCCAGAACTGTAGCTTCTGTTTCTAAGTACCCAGAACCCCTATTCTCTTCTGATCTGTTTAGCTTCTTGATGTGTTAGAAAAGCCCAATAAATAAGTTCACACCCTGTTAACTAATGATTTCTATCTGTTTTTTATAAGCCTTCCTAATTGGGGGCAATTATCTAATAAGAAAGAATCTGTAATAATAGAAGAATAATATGCTAATTAGACCAGACACCCTTCCGGACGACCTTCTGCACGAGGCTGGGGCTGTGAGGGAAGCCCGGGGCCCGGGTGCCAGAGGATAGCCAGTGCCGGAAGCCAGGGGGAGGAAGGTCTACTCTTGCACGAATTTTGTGCACCGGCCTCTAGTTATCTAATAAAAAAAGGAATGAAATTAGACATGAATGATTTGGGGCAGTAGTAACAGACCGAACAGAAAGCCTGTGGCTCCCAGAGACATAAGAACTTGCTTATCTAGGGACTTGGTTCTTCGTAAGCCTGTCAGAGTATCTTCTCTGCATTTTTCCGGAAACTCTTGGGCTATGCTGACAACATCTTTCCTGTGCATTTCCCAAATGAACTTCCACTGCACTTGTTGAGTGCAAGTCATTTCACATTGTGTGCCTTCTCTGGTTAAGAAGACAAACTATATTGCTAAGAACACAAGGTACTGATATTGTGACAAATACCTAAAGACTGTTAAAAATATCACAGAAGTTTCCAATAACATTGTCGTTCATGCTATCATTATCCATCATGTAAGAATCGGTAGCACTCCCCAGTAAATTATGTGCTATTGATGACCCATATTTTATACACAGAGGGAGTAGGCTGGGAAGCAGATCTGGGAACAAACATGGATCATCCATGAATCTCATCCTCTTATGTCACTGACTCTTGACAAGGCAAGAGAAACAAAACGAGACATGGATTCCATTCACTGCTTTGCCAAGAAATATCTATCGATACATACATGACAAGCAATAATACACTTGGGAAGTGAATAATAATGAGGACACCCATTACCTTTCACTGAACACCTACCATGTGCCAAGCATTGTTAAAGTCATCTACATACTACGTAGTTCCAAAGACCAAGAGAGTTTTGCAAGTTCATCTTTTTCTGAACAGAGGTAGTAACTGCCAGGTCTGGATTTTAACCTGACCTTGCTGCCTCCCCAGGATTTGATCAGAAATGGCTACAATCTTTTGCTAACATGCAAGCACATTGGTCCAAATGCAAGCCACTTCCATGTAGTAGTTTCCAGCTCTGCAGCCTTCTTCTACTTCTGTTCCTGCATCCTGAAGATTCTCAAGCAGGATCAACTAACGATTGACCAGGTCCTAACTTTATAATCAGACTTCTATGCATAGTAGAGAGATGACCTTTTCTGTGTCACCTTCCAGATGCCCACGTGGTGCATGCTGGGAGGAGTAGATGATAAAGGAAAGATTATAGAGCACGTAACTTGATATGACCTTTAAGGGAGATAAATACAATAAAGTAATAAGTACCAGCATGAATAGAGGCATTTTTACCACTCTACATCAAAGCTATTTCAAAGGAGGTTGTTTTATGTTCTATATAGAGCATATATTCTATATGGGGTGTCCTCTTCACCCCAACTTTCAGTAATCAGTGCTTCCAAATTCCCATCAGCTTATTTATTCATTGAGAGGCATCTCATCAATGACGACCTGGTGGAAAACTCAGTGTTCTTTTATGTGTCACAACTAATTACAAATTCTAAAACATAATTGGACTTGTCGGGAAAGGGTGTCTTTTGTTGCCATTGTTGTTAAATAAGTTAGCCCCAGACAGACTGAGATAAAGCAGAGTGCCGTGGGCTTGCAGAGTGGAGATGGGACTTTCGTCTTGGTGTGATGTTAAGTTGTTGAGTGAATGAATGACAGAATATCTTTTAAGCTTCACTCCCCTGATTTGTAAAATGAGAACTTTAGACTAAATGGTCCCTCCATGTCCTTCCGGATTCTCAAACACCAGAAATTGTCATAATGTACCTGGCCATCAAAATGCAGTAACTCTTTAGATTTGAAATCGCTTCCTGGACAAATGCAGCCTGGGCCTCGGACCCACAGCTCCTCATGACCTGCACTTTGGTCTGTAATGGAAGTCTTTTCTCATGGAGATAGTAGCATGAATGTTGTTTTACCATTGCCCCAGTAGGAAAAGAACTCTTGTTTTGTTTCAGAGTATATATAGATACCCACACTTCCCCCAATCTTGCCATTTTCATTAGGTTACAGAAAAGATAAACCATAAGGAATAATGCAAGGCGAGCTGGGGCTTGTGGAATTTTCCTTAGATCTCCTGAAGGGATTGAAACTGGAGAATTTGTTTTCAGTGGGGAATCTGGTTAAACCAAAATGATGGCTGTCTAGAAATTCTTGATGGTTTTTAATGTAAGCCAAATAATACATTCAATCCTCAACTACTTAAGTTATGGGGTCAAAGTGAACATAAATAAGTTAGTTCCTACAATCCATCCAATTCAATTTTTCATCAGCCTTAAAGATTAATAAGTGTTAATTGATTGTCCATTATAGACATTGCATAGATTTGATTTCACTGGGAATTTGAAAAAAATGGTCAAAAGACATTCAAAGCCAGGTGTGCCAGGTGGAAGAGTCTAGAAACTTGGCTTTTAGCCACCAAGCTACCCTGCTTCCTAAAGAAACTGTTGTGTGGTCAAAGGGAATGTGCACCACCCCACCTTGCTCCTCGTGGACTCACCTAGGTACTTCTTGGCCAAGCTCTGGACCTGCATCCTCCTCTCCTCTCAGGAAGAAGGACACGCCAGGGCATGTGGCAGAGGTGAAGCAGAAAAAAAAAAAATCTCACATGTGAATATGACATCTAAGTTAGTCCTACAAAGTGGCCTTTTCCATTTTTGTTTAGGATGTTTCAACATTGATGTGGTGCTTGTTCAGGATTTCTAATCTTTCTCAGGTTGCTGTTTTTCTTACTAATCCATTTTTTTTTTTTGTACTCAGCACAGTTGAGGACCACATAATAGGTCCTCAGTAACTTCTACTCCCAAAGAAGGAGCAAAGAAAAAGGATAAAGCTTCTAGTGAAAAATGTGCAGAAAGTCACTTGCAGTCATTATTCAAAGTTTAGACTTCCGGCATTGCTGATACTTTATGGTACATGATCCATACAGACACGTTTCAGCAATTAAAGGCTCCTTGTTCATGACGGACACCCTGGCTTCCTTTCCTTGTTTCAACTTTCTCTTCAGGCCACAGGTGATGCAAGGAGCAGACAGAACCAGAGGGATCCAGACAGGGAAACTGCAGGAGACCCGTGGGCAGTGTAAGGAAAACAGGGATAGACCTAAGTTTTAAAACAGATTTAAGTAGTTCTTTTTAAAGAATTGATTTGAGAGAGAAACACTAGTTGCCTCCTGAACACACCTTGACCAAGTATCAAACCCACAACCTGTGTGTGCTCTCAACAGGAATCGCACCCGGACTCCTTAATGCTTTGGAAGATACTCCAACCTACTGAGACACCCGGCCAGGGCAGCACAGGGCGGTATACAACCTAACTTCTATCTCTCCACCAACCTCCTGGACGCCCATCATAACACCCTCCAAATCCGCTTCTACCCTGTGACTCCCGCTCCTTTATTTCCTCACTGATCCGCGAATTCTGGGCTATGACAATTCTCGATTCTTTCATTCCGGCGAGAGGGGAAGTGCTCTTTGGATCCCTCAGAGCCAGAAAGTGCACAAACCAGGCATCAAACGGACCAGCGAGCGGCTCCCTATGCCCGCACCCTCGCCCGCACCCTCCTCCACCCCCTCAGGCTCCTTTGGCTGGAGAAAGTATTCCAAGTTCCCCCAGCAGATCCGTTTCCCTCGCTTCCCTCTGTCTCATTTCTCCTTCCAGTAAACTTTGGGGTTCTTTGCACTGGCTGCCAGCGGAGCCCAGCAACCCCCCTCTGCCCTGGTCCATGTGAAGTCCGCATTTGGCACAGATAAAATAGATGCGATCTCAGCAAGAGTCTATCATTTGGAATTATGCATATTTAATCCTGTCGCTACCAAGGGAGCCCCCAAATAGCAAGAAACAGAAACCCCACACTGGCCGCTCGCGGGGACGGAGGGAGGACCTGGTTCCCGGCAAAGGGCGCTCGGTCCGGCCCCGTCGGAAACTCCCCGGCCCGCGGCGGGAGGACAGCGGGGCTTTCCAGGGACCGGTCCCCGGGTTTAAAAGCCGCCCGTGGGCGCCGCGCTCTCACTTCTCCCGGAGCCGGGGCCGCTGGCGCTCCAGCCGCCCGCCCGCCGCCCGCCCGCCCGCCGCCCGCGCCGTGAGTAGCCGTCGGGCGCGCCCCGAGCGAGGGCCGGGGAGCTGGGCGAGGGGACCGAGGGCAGCGGGGCTGGGGACCGACCTGGGGACCGACCTGGGGACCGACGGAGCCCCGGCTCCCCCGGAGCCCCGCGGCCGGCTCCCCGACGGCCGGCGCGGAGGCTGCGCCGGGGCCGGGCCGGCCGCCCAGGTGCCGGTGGCTCCGGGCCAGGGACGCCGCGCGGCTCCGCTGCCCGTGGGAGAGCCGGTGCGCCCGGCGGGTCCAAAGGGCAGGGCCCAGCTACTTCCCGACGCGCCTGGGCGCGGGGCCCGAGCCCCCGGCGTGCGTGCCGGGCGCGCGGACTTGGACTTGTGCGCGGAGCGGGGCGCGGAGCGGAGCGGGGCGCTTACCATGGACCATGGTCTGCGGGGGGCGGCGTGGTCATGATGACCGCGGCTGCAGCTCGAGCGGGCTCTCGCAGGCCATGCTCACTGCCGGGACCCCGGGCTGCGCGGCGGCGCCGGGAGGCGGGCCGGGCGGCCGTCTCTGCGGCCGGTTCCTCTGCCCCACGCCGCGCCCGCCGCTGCATCCATCCCAGGGGGCGCGGCACACGCCACGGCTGCTCTGGGCTCGGCCTTCTTTCCCCCAGAACTTCCGTAGGATCCGCCGCAGTGCACTTTCAGTTTCTACTTTGCGCCGGGGCTGCAGGTTCCAGCTGCGGGCTCCTGGTCCCGCGCCGCCAGCGCCCCCCTCCCCTCCCGCGCGCACCTGCGTCCTTCCCGGGCGCGTCCTGGGCACCGGGGCCGCCGCCGGAGGAGGGCGCCGCGGGAGGGCCCGGGGGTTCCGGGCGGGACACTTTGCCGATGACCTCTAACCGCCTTGGCAGAGCCAGGCCACTGCGACCGAGGCCGCTGGGGTCGCAAAGCATAGGCTGCCACCGCGTCCACGGGGCGACACAGGTGCCGGGCGAGAGCCTGGCGAGTGCGCGCGGAGGCCGCGGGGAGGGCGGCGCACTCCTGCCCTGGGTGTGGCGGACGAGGACAGCGTCTTGTGAAATGTCATAGGCTGGTGTTTTGTGATCAGAGACATGATTGCTATTCCGTTTACTCACAGCCCCAGCGAATTGTGCAGAAAAGCCAACAGGACGCCAAGTTCATGGACAAGGGAACTGAGGAGGGTGGAGAGGGTCCTGCCCTCAGGCCCTGGAATCCCGCCCAGCAGCCCCTCTTTGCCTTCTGTGTGCGTGCACCTGCCCAGGGGATACCGCACGGAAGTAACCCTGTGGTCCACCTGCCTATCTTTGTGGCCGTGGGAATCAGAGCCCCAAGGAGGTGAGGGAAGTGGAGTCTATCACAGTTAAATAACCGTGACTTAGACGTTTATCTGAGTTGGCTAAGAAAGCACGCTTTCCCTTTGGACTGCTTGTTACTGAGGAGTTGATACCACACCCCATCCTTCTCCCCCTCCCCCTGCCCCAGGCCTGAACTAGTAGTTAGCTATGACTGTTCTGCTTTGGTTTGGTTTCTGATATTTTGCAGAAACTCTGCTTAAGTGAAGGTGGGTGGTGTAATGGTTATAATAACTCTGATAATAAGGGCTGTTACGTGTGGGTCATTGGCTCTGGACTGGGTTTTCTTACCTGCCCTTCACAGATGTGGGATTTGAGTAACTTGGCAGAGCTCACTTTGCTAGTTGGTAACAGAACTTGGACACAAGCCCGTCCCATGCTGGCTCCGCAGTGCGTGCCTGGAACTCCGTGTTAGAAGTTCTTAGAAAGAACTTCGGAACTGATGCCAGGAGGGGGACAGTGCTCGGTGTCCTGTGGACAGTCAGAAGGCTGTGAGTTCTGAGCAGGAGCTCGCCTCGGCTAGGAGCATTCCAGTCCATAAGATGTGATGGAAAGGAGCGGAGGAGAGAACAACAATGAAAGAGAGTGAGAAGCGTTGTTCAAACCTGAAACTTGGATCCCTCATTCCTTTTAGTCTCACATTCCGCATCCAATCCAGAGGCAGGTCCAGTCAGCTCTGCTTCTGGAACAAACCCGAATCCAGCCTCGGTGCTCCAGGATTGCCCATGGGCACACCACGAACACCCTGCTGTCCAGGATGGTCCCCCCCTCTCAGCGGCAGGGTGCCTGATTTACACTCGCCACCCTCTGAGACTGTCCTCTGGCCCTTAGCATTGTCCCAGGCCTGAGGTGCTGGGTTACCTGGGCTCTGCTGCCCCCTCTGACCTGGGCCCCAGCCACACTGGCCTGCTTCTCCCCTGTCCCAGCCAAGCTCCCTCCCACTGGGAACAGTATCCAGCTTTCAGAGCATTCAGACAGCACTGCCCAGGGACAGCCTGAGAGAGAACCAGGGAGTGACAAAGTGTGAATGAGAACATGGATGGAAGAGAGGATGTGAGGGCAGATGGACAGGAGGAGGCCAGTGAGAACAGGAGAGGGATGGGCAGACAAAGCTGAGTGTTGCCATGTGACTGGAACCAAGAATGAGGTGCGCCGTGGAGACGGAATCCTAACTGGGAATTCTGTGCCCAAGCACACTAGGCTGGCTATTTATTTACTTAAAATCACTGACATTGAGGCACAGACATAGCATCAGCCTGCACTTTTTTGTTTTACTTTTCAGGGACAAATAAAAGATCATCTACCAATAACTTCCTCAGGAGAAATAACTTCCATCTTTTTTTTTCTTCTTTTTTCCCCCCCCACAATCACCACAAAACCTGTCATTAATGAACTTTGGGGAAGCATGAGGTGAAATTATTCAGAGCTCCAGGAGAGATGTAAATTCCTCACTCTCTTCGAACATATTCATAAAGGATTTGGAATTTAAAAAAAATATATTTTATTGGTTTTTTACAGAAAGGAAGGGAGAGGGATAGAGAGTTAGAAACATTGATGAGAGAGAATCATCAATCAGCTGCCTCCTGCACACCCCTTACTGGAGATGTGCCTGCAACCAATGTACATGCCCTTGACCGGAATCAAACCTGGGATCTTTCAGTCCGCAGACCAACGCTCTATCCACTGAGCCAAACCCGTTTCGGCAGGATTTGGAATTTCTGTTGTTGCATGAAAGTGGGCACATTCTCACCAGATCAAGTTATTATGCATGAGAGGGGCTAGAGTCTATTTATAATAATAAAATGGTAATATGCTAATTAGACCAGACAAAGCCGCAGCAGACGGGGGGGGGGGGGGGGGGGGGCGGCTGAGCCCTTGCATGAATTTTGTGCATCGGGCCTCTAGTTTATGTATTAATTGATAAAATTGGGTTCTTGTATAGAAGAGAGGAAGGATGGAACCAAGAAACCCAAGATCTCTGATCTATTTTTTTCTTATGATTCATTCAATTCCCTGTCTATTAGAGAATATCATTTGTAAAAATTTCCAAAAGAACATCTTAAATGAGTGGCTGGTATTTTGATAAACTGAACATTTTTTTCATAAGACAAGGATAAAATGTCTTGTGAAATTTTATATGCTGATGTTTTGTGATTAGAGAAATGATTGCTATTTCGTTTTACTCATAGCCCCAATGAGTTGTGCAGAAAAGCCAACAGTATGCCAAGTTCATGAATTATTATAACCACAAATACTAAGAAGGAAGATAACATCTCAGAATGATTAGTACAATGTAATAGAAAAATTTAAATAGGATATGAAAGTCAATTAAGATAGTTGTTGAAGGTTAACCAATGTCTTTTTAAATGTTCTACAGTCTTCAATCAAAATAGACAATTATTGGTAACCTGAAATTATTTTCTTAATTGTCTGAACTATTTTTACCCACCTGTGACTATTCTTGATAGTCTGAGATCTGAATGCTACCTGTTGTTCTGTCTATGGATACTTTCTGAAGTTTCTATGACTTAATTTTCCAGGAATGCTATTTTACATATTCAAACATATACACACACATACATACATACATACATACACACACACACACACAAGACTTTTTAATGGGCATGTGTTCTGTGTACTGACATAGAGGCCCATGTGGTGCTTAGAAGGGCTCCATGCTTGTTTCAATGCTCTGCTGTCTTGTGAAATTCTTAATTATTTTTAGACAAGGGCTCTCTCATTTTCACTTTGCACTGGGCCCCGCAAATCTCTGTAACTACTTGTGTACACACTCATGTTAAGCTACACATTGTAGATAACAATGCATATCTTCAAGGTGGCTTCAGTCTGGTGAGGAGATCGGAAGTTAAAAGTGTAATTTCAAAGATAAAAGAATGTTATAAGAAGGAAAGGACAAGATGTACTTCAAACCAGGGATTTAAGGCAATCTAGACAGACTCACTTGAAAAATTAGTGAAACTAGGGTCTAGAAAGGTTCATTTACTAGTACTTGGTTAGTAGGAAAATGGCCATAATGAATAACCTTTCATTTAAAACAGATTTATTTGTTTTTCAAGCCTGACCATGAGGACAAATTTTAAATTTTATCAAACGACCACTGAGCATGTTTACATGGTTGTGTTTTTTCCTTGTTGCATTTTTAAACAGAACACAAATTTACCATAATACTCAATTCAACTTGCTAATATTTAACATAGAATCTTGCAATTACATTCATAATTGGTTTATGTTTGTTTTTCATATTATACTTAACTGAGTTTGGACTATTTTTGTCAGATTCTCTTAGCTCTATAAAGGGATTTGAGAATTCCCTGTTGTTGTTGTTTTAAAGAAACTATAACTGTTGAAGCATTTTATAAACTATTTCTGTGTAGTTGATTAGAGTTAAACAATAAAACATGCCTCATTAAACAGGAGAAAGCCCAGGGGTAGGAGGAGAATGTTAGTTGTAAGAGTGAAAAGAAAAAGGATTCCTTTGAAGGCTGAATCAAAATGGCTACATCAAAATATCGGGAGCCCTGCTAGAAATGTGTATGTCAGCATACTGATGGTTGTTTGAGTCACAGAAGTGAATGAAATGACCTAGCTTGCAACTAAGAAGAGGGAAGAGACAGAGAGCCGATACTGGGAGGAACAGTAGGCATGAACACTAATGGTCGCTGGAGAAAAGTGTGTCCACCAACAAAGGGACAAACCGTGGGTAGCAAAGCGGGAGAGTCAGAAGTTCGTGTCCCAGAAAGCACAGGAGGATAGGGTTTCAAATGAGAGGAAGTAACCAGTATTTCCAAATGCTACGGAGATGGAAAAAGACGGAGACTGGAGGTGTGCCTGCTGACTCTGGCGGAGGGGAGATTGTCTATGGTCCTATGAGAACAGTTTGAGAAGAGAAGTGTAGACAAGAGCAATATTCCAGTTTGTGAGGAGTAACCGAAGGTGCAAAGAAAGTGAGAGACAACTCTTTAAAGGTGTCTTGAAGATAAAAAGGGGTAAAATTAGGTTCTTATGAAGAAATAGGAGAGTATGGAACCAAAAAACCCAAGATAGTGGATTTATTTGTTTTTCTTATAATTCCTTCATTTCTCCCTCCTCTTTCATTTCAGTTCTAAAATTCTGTAGTTCTGAATAATCAGAACCCCCTATAAATCTGGTGCCTAATTTTATGTTACTTATTAAAATGTTCCCCAGGACACTCTCTTGTCTACTTCTGGATTGAGTATTGGCCAGTTGAGGAGAAAAATATTTCTCAAAATTGCTCTCGGAGGAAGCAAATGTAGCTTACGTAGTTTGCATTATCTAATCCTTTTGTGCACCAATGGATATGTTGTTTGCAATTAGAAACATCTTTTATATATTGAATTTTGGAGGCTTTTAACCAGTGCCTTTATAGATGTCTAGTTAGAGACGATTATGCCTGTGACAGTTTTCTTCATGCAAATTGTTTGAAGAAAGTAAAATAAATAAATAAATAAATAAATAAATAAATAAATAAATAAATAAAAAATTCCCTTTATTGTCTTCAAATGCCTGGACAGATCCCCTTAATACCTTCCACTTACTATGTGGATGTTCTGTTGTGTTATAAGCTCTTGGAGAACAATGGCAGTGTCTTATGCAACCTGGAGTTCTCTGAAGTCAACAACATCCCATTCCAGATTCAGATTCTCCCCAAGTGTGACTGTGGAAAAGGGAGAAATCAGAAAACAGGTCTAGACTTGTTTTCAAAGAGAACCGGTTCTTGGGGAGAACCTGTGATAACATCCAGGAATGTTATAATACCAACTACTGCTTTACCTGGCTATGCCTAAGGGTCTGGGGAGCGTGTCAAAATTCTCCTACTGAATAGATTTAAACCTTTTCTAATATGGACGGCAGTGTGGCCTACTAAAATCTTTCTGTTGCTATATTAGGTAATTAACCAAATCAGCCTCTCCTCCAGGCAGCCAGGTTTGTCCCACACATTGTCAGTGCCGGGGACCAGTGGTCGGCAAACTGGGGCTCATGAGCCACATGTGGCTCTTTGGCCCTTTGAATGTGGCTCTTCCACAAAATATCTGTGTGATTGAAATGTACAGTGCAATTGAAACTTCCTGGCCCATGTGCAGAAGTCAGTTTTTGGCTCTCAAGAGAAATTTCAATTGTTGTACTGTTGATATTTGGCTCTGTTGACAAATGAGTTTGCAGACCCTGCTTGGACTGTGGTTGGAGGCCCATGACTCACACATGACATGGGATGATTAAGTGTATTGTTACAGTAATTAAATAAAGAAATAGTTTTCTAAAAGGATTTTGTACTTCCCTGTGCTCCTAGGATTTTGTACTTCCCCAATCATTGCTCTGTGACAATCCTGTGCCAATTAACCTGCATCCTATAAGCCTGAAACAAACATTAATGTGCTTGCCTAAAATGTTAAAATGTTAGTGGCAGTGACAAATACACATTAATAAGAAGACAAAAAAAGGAAGTTTTCAAAAGATTTAAACATTGAGATATCAACTTGGGTGTATTGATGATTTCTTCAAACAATGGAACAAAGCAAAATGTTTTGTAAGTGGCATGCCCTGTGAGATGGCAGCTGGCATTGTTTCTTTTACTAGGTTGGCAATTTTCCCTAATGTGTGACTAACAAGTTTTCTAATCATGTTTTATTTTTCATCTCCTGGCACCGATAAACTAATTGCGAAAGTTCTGTGGCACACTGAAAAATATATTTTTTGCTGATCTGATCAAAATAGTTGGTAAGATTTTGATCTTTAACATCGATAACTGTTATTGTGTTGGCTGTTGTCATTTTTTAACTTGCCAATTGAAGAGAAAAGAGTAGTCAGGAATTACATGTTTTAAAAATTCTTGTGGCCACTTGTTTAATGTCACTGGTCCTAGGTAAGACATTGTTTTGACCAGTGAAATGTAATATTTTCTATTTCTTGTCATTTCCCTCCTGTCAAAGTGAGATTTTGGCCACAACCAGTTTGGCTCAGTGGATAGAGTGTCGGCCTGCAGACTGAAAGGTCTCAGGTTCGATTTTGGTCAAGGGCATGTACCTTGGTTGTAGGCACATCCCCAGTGGGGGGTGTGCAAGAGGCAGCTGATCGATGTTTCTCTCATCGATGTTTATAACTCTCTATCCCTCTCTCTTCCTCTCTGTAAAAAAATCAATAAAATATATTAAAAAAACAAAGTGAGATTCTGTGTAATTTCCATTTTCTGAGACCTCTTAACTTTTATTCAGGTTTTAAAAATTAGGCTCCTTTGATTCTAATTTCAAAATAACCCACTTTATAACTTTTTATTTTAAAATATGAAATCATTGCTGCTTACCAAATACAAATATATACACAAATATGTGTATACTAGAGGCCTGCTGCACGAAGAGATTAGTGCAATAGGCCTTCCTTCCCTTGGCTTCCAGCACGGGTTTTCCTCTGGCACCCGGGACCCTGGCCTTTGCTCTGGCCAGAGACTGACTACTTCTTCATCTTTGCTGCAGACTTCAGCTGGAATCTGCCATCTTCATCTTCGCTGTGGCCAGCGCTCCCATAGATCCCTTTGTACCCTCTCCTGTCCCCCCCCCGCCCCCCCCGCCCTTCGCACCTCCCCCCCTCCCCCGCCTTCTCTCTCATAGCAGGTGTCCTGTCCTTCCTGGCCACACCTTGACTGGAGCAGCTGGGCGGCTGCCACCTTTCTCTTTCTAATTTGCATATTCCCTCCTGATTGGCTGGTGGGTATAGTGGAGTGATGGTTAATTTGCATGTTTCTCTTTTATTAGTGTAGATATAGTGTCCCAGGAAATGTATACACACACTTCGAATAATTCTAAAAGCCCTGAGACCAGAGGTTTTCTCAGGCACTTTCGAGCAATAGCCAGATTTAAATAAAACCAAAAACTATCAAAACAAAGCAGCAAAAGTGAGGGCTTTTAGGGCTTACAAGGATCACTATCAAAAGGAGAGAGTATAGGCCCAAAGAAACCTCAGGAAGTTGAATCTAGAAAAGTGCTAGGAGATCCAGAAAAGATCCTATTCATACTTTCCTGCAGTTGCTTTGTGCTCATCTGGATTTAGACCACTCTCTTCTCTATGACTTCAGTTTTTTCTAGGTCTTTTGGTGCCTCTAATAAAGATTTGTTTCATTGACTTGAATTTGACTTAATACAATTCCTTCTTTTTACCTCTGACTACATCTTCCTTGGTTATTAAACTGTAAAAGGAAATAAATGAACCTCGTGGTGAACTTGATTTTGCCAGTAGACTCGCTGGCAGTTCCTACTGATATGTTTTCCATTGTGGGGGTGAAATGAGTTCAACACACCATATCAGTACATGAAAGGAGCTGGACGTTTGCTTTTCCGTGATAGTAAGTACCGGCTCAGTGTGTGTTTCTGAAAAGTACTGTTGCCAAGGCAATGAGATTTTTCACCCTGAAAGAGCACCACCAAGATTTCTTATAGCTGTTTGTTCTGGTGATGCTTTTCCTATTACTAGAAATGGAGACCAAATAGCAAGCACATACTCGGGAATCAGTTCACTCTTTCATTGGCCTGTAGGGCCTTCTGAACAGCTTTCACCTGCTTACTACTGTATGTACTCTGTATACTCTATGATTCAAAGGGAATCTCATAAGGATTGCTTCTGCCATCCTGAAGTTCATTAATCTTGCTTCCTGGTAATAGTCAAGTTTGGCACATACATGTGTTCAAGCCTCTGCCAACCCTAAATAACCCTTCTTTTAATTTTGCTTATAGTTATCAAGTCCCACTAAGTGCACATCACTGTTCGAGGTGCTTGGGATATGCTAGTGTACACAACAAATACTGTTTGCTCAACTGGGTCTACATGCTAGTGGAGGAGATAGGCAATAAATAATATAAAATAAAAATTCTGTAAGAAGTAGACATTTCTAAGGTCTATGGAAAAAAGTAGGGTGAGGGTAAGAGATTGATGGATATGGAGGGAAGTGATGGAGTGAGAAAGAAAGTTTTATGATTTTGAATGTGCTTCAGTGGGAAAGTGACATTTGAACCAAGACAAAAGTGAGGTGACTGATTGAGACACATGCATGTCTAAGAAAAGCATCTTCTGGAAAGTGGAAAGCCATCCTGGACATAGGGACATCTGCTTTCAGTCACTCTCCTTTCTCTTTTCTTTCTCCTGTGCCTGCCTCATTCTGAGTAGTTCACACTTTCAGTGTCCACACCTAGCTATTTTTCACTCCAGGACACTCTGGTGCTGTCTACCATGGCCATCATCAGTGAACTAGCTGCTGCTGCTGCTTCTTAAATTGCCTCTCAAAATAATCAAAGCAGATCATGGAAAGGATAAGCATGTAACAAATGGAGACGAGCAAATTTTTAAAAATTAAAACACCATCTAACCATTGCACTTGTAACAATTAATATTCTGTAAATATATATCTTTAACCAAAATGAGACCACACTATATTTATTGTTCTGCAGTATGCTTTGTTTTCAATCATCTATCTCTATTTTTATATTTAAATAAATTCCAGATACTCAAAATTCCAGATACTCAAATTTCCAGATACTCAAAAATTTTCAGATACAAATAACCAGATACTCAAATTTCCAAAATTGACCATAAAGCATTCATGACATTGGAAATCTGGTTTCTTTTAGTAGATTTTTGCATTAGAGATTACAACCTGGGCACTAGAAGTACCCATTGTTTCTAGGCCATTTTCCTGGACACAGCTAGAGAATTTGTGTTGTGTTGATCTTTCTAATTACATTTTGATAGTTTAGGTTTACTCAGTTAATTTTTAAGTTTAGAATGGTATCACTTTTCTGTTTCACTGAAAATATTGACTGACTCCTGAGATCATTAGCTGAATTACTTATTTTTTACCAGTAGATATAAATTAGCTGCAAAATTTCAATACAATTAACATATTAAATGACATCACTTCCAAGAAACTTAAACCATCATTATAGTTCTGTTCCCTCAATACCCCGTCAAGGATGTATAAAACATCAAAATGTTGTATTCCAGAGCCACTTAAAGTGTATCTTTTCCATTTTTGATTATTAATCAAATTATTTGATTAATTTAATACATGATATATTCTGTTGTTTTCAGTGTTATTTTATTATTATTTTTATTGATTTCAGAGAAGAAGGGAGAGGAAGAGAGATAGAAACATCAAATGATGAGAGATAATCATAGATCCGCTGCCTCTGCGCACCCCGTACTGGGGATCAAGCCAACAACTGCAACCCAGGAGTGTGCACTAACTGGGATTCGAACTGTGACCTCCTGGTTCATAGGTCAATGTTCAACCACTGAGCCACACTGGCGGGGTTCCTATATTATTTTTAAAAATCTGGCTATATACTCAAGCCTTCTGCGGAAGTGCTGGGTGGAAACATCTACCTCTTTCCTCTTGGAGCTTTTTCTCCTTGCCCCAGTTGGTAAATATTTTCCCCATTCAAAACAGTGACCTTTCCCCCACAAGTTCTCTCTTGCTGGGCGCTTGGTGTGATGCAGTCTTGTAAAAATACTTCGGAAACATTTCACCACCCAGTTTCCTTGACATCTCAGGACACTTCTCACTCTTCCTTAGACTCTTCCCCCTCTTACATTTCCACTGACACCATTCTCCTGAAATCTTCCTTCTAGTGCTCCGGACTGCCTTTCTCTGCCATCTGTTGTAACATCTATATGCTGTACTCCCTTCCCAAGTCACCTCATCCACACTGATGATCTTAACCACTGGCTTCCCTCATTGCCCACATTTTATACTTCCAGCCTTGTCCTCCACAGCCCTTAATTCTAGCCGTCTTCCACAAGCTATGGTGCTTCTCTACAAAGGTATCTCAAACTTATCATGTACAAATGCATACTTATTTTCTACCTTATTCTTCCCATCCTATGCCCTTTCAGAAGATATACTTTAGCTGTCCATTTTGTCCCCCAAGCTAGAAACCCAGGAATCACAAAATCAATCACTAAATTCCATTGATACCATTTGCTTGATACTAAGTGTTGTCTCTCTGCCATTCCTACTATCTTTAGGTGTTTCTCTCTCTTCTCAACTACACAGACCCCTTAAAAGATGTTTTTGAAAAAACTGACTATTTACTCTCTGCTTAAAAATTTTCAACAGCTTCCTGTTTCCTTAAGAGAAGTGTCTACGCACCCTCTGCATGAAACACAAAGTTTCCATCATTTAGCACCATCCTCCTGTCATCCAATTACTTAGATGCCCCACCCAGCACCTTGAACCCAAACCATTCTGACCTTCAGGCTAGCTTACTTCTGCCCTGCTGTCCTGTCAGCCTCGAGTGCCCTTGTCCACTCTGTTCTTCAGGGTAAGCCCAGGTTTTATTTCCTGAGGGATGTCCTAGCTACTGTGTGGTCTAGATTCTTCTTTTATCCAGGGCTTCTCAGTTATCATGTACTTGTTGTGATGGTTTTCTCCCTAAAGGTGAGGACCGTGAAAACACAGACTTCTCTGTATTTATGGAATCTTTGACCCCAGTACAGCAACTATCTTGCTTAGGTGTTGGATGAAAGTTTGTTGGATGGATGGATGGATGGCCACCTCCGCTGTTGCATGTGGTACACTATTGGACTGTCACATCTCTGAGGACAGGCATCCATTTTGGTTGTGGGTGGCTCTATTCTCATTGTTTCCCACAGTCCCTGGACATCACAAGCTCCTGGGAAACATATAGTCAGTACCATCCCGTACATGCAACATAGGTAGATGCATACAGTCATGCTGGTACGTTTAATCATTAGCTGGTAACTAGGCTTTAGATTAACGGGGGTACCTCAATCTTCAGAAATTACAGGTAGAGACAGACTCCATCTTTTAGACACATTGAACAACAAAATACACTATTATGATTAAATCATGCGTATCTGATTTCAAAAGAATATTTGGCTGTGTTAAAAATGTACTATAAGTGACAACTCCTATGAATAAAGTCCTGTGCCATCAAAACCTCATGTAATTTGGATAGAAAAACACTATAAAAATGAAACAAGACCTTCTTTTTTTTTTTTTAAATAGTCTTATTTGGTTGATACTAAAGATTGATTTAAAGTCAACCAAATATATGTATTAGTATATATTCTATAATTAAGAAATAGATATAAAGAAATAGCAAGGTGAAGGGGAAGAGAATTGGAGCTTAATATAAAATAGCTTCTTAGGTCAAACATTTCTTATTTAAACATTTATACTTACATACATTTTATTAAATTGAAATATAATTTTTGTTGTAAGATTTGCTTAAGTTACTTTATCCTCCTCCTATTCCTTCCAAAAAAACAAGCAAACTATCTAAAATTGATGAAACTGGATCTAAAAATGATTCC